CCCCCCCCCCCCCCCCCCCCCCCCTCCCCCCCGGTCAGCTTCCAGTCCACCCTACAGTCTTCTCGCCGCCCCCTCCCCCTTCCACCTATCGGCCCGGCTGCCTTCCCCCCTCCCTCCTCTCCCTGGAACCGCCAATAAGTACCATTCAGTTGTCAGCTTTACCTGTCCGTTTTTTTTTCCAAATTCCTAGCATGTATTTGGTTTGAATGAAAGGGCAGTGGGTAAAATATTTCTTTTTTTTGAAACATACGTCAAAAATTGAGGCTTCTTGGCTTATTTGAGCGGCGCAAACGATGCTCTTTGTGGATTGCCCCGGTGCTGGGCACTGGCTCAATGGCTACTGTGATGATTGTTTTTCTTTTTTGAGCAAACTCTTCAAATTTGGTAATTTTTAGTTAATTTGTAGAATCGATGTGCGGTTTTGTGTGTGTTACAGCCAAGCTGTGCTGCGGCAGTGACGACTCTCCTCCGTGGTGGCCGCCACACAATGAACATTGTCATACATAATTTGGTACTTTCATCTCAAATAGCCATTTAGCCATTACTCTTGAACAGCAGCTCTCCCTCTCTCTCACTCTCTGTCTCTCTCCGAATTTCTCTATCTCTCTTTAAAAACCCGAAATTGGATGAGTTTTGAGAAGCTTTAAGTCCGACTCAGGCACTACGGAGGGGGGAGGGGGTATATCGGAGTAAGATCTAAACTGACGCCGCTGATATATTTTGACGGGAGCAATTACACTGGTTCCGAAGATTCAAAATTTTATTCAGGCGAAAAACGGGTATGAAAGAATTGGATATATTGAAAAAGCTAAATGAAGCAGACCGCGATGATCGCTATCATTGCCTCCAGCTTTATCGGCATTTCTATCATCATCAGCATCTCTGTTTGGTTTTTGAATCGCTCAGGTAAGTGTAAGGCCCGTTTTTTATGCATTTTGTGCTATGTAACAGCAGTACAAAACTCATACTGTCACGGGGTTGTCTGTGTGTGTGTCCGCAACTTTCAACTCGAGAACCACAAAAGCTAGGAAGCTGAATATTTAGGGGAATGTTCCCTACCTACATGTGAATCGGCACGCTTAAATTCAGCCTTCCCGTACCCGCGAGTAACACGTACAACCCCGTCATAGTTTTGGCGGGAAAAATTATTATCTCAGGAACCACGGGATCTAGGGAGCTGAAGTTTTAGGGTAATGACCCCCTGCCCACGTGGAACCCCTCAAATTTAAGTTCAGAGCAGTGAAAGTCATTAGCAGGCAGTTGTTTGGTGAACAGAATTGCACAAAAACGCATGATTGCACCGTCTGCCTTGGTGTGCGCCGCTATTTATTTATTTTTTTCATCGTTTGGTTAATAGTGGGAGATTAGTAGTTCAGTCTGTGCTGGCAGGGAGGGGATAGTGATTTTTGTTTTTGACAAAAGTGCAAAAATTTTGGTTGTCATTTATTTGTAATATAACGATTTTTCAGTATGAATCTTCGCGAGCTACTTAAAAAATATGGCAACAGTGTTGGCTTACACATGAAAGCGGTACGCAGTTACACGCAACAACTTCTAATGGCTCTTCGATTACTCAAACGATGCAACATACTGCATGCCGATATCAAACCGGACAATATTCTTGTAAGAATTTTTGATTTTTGCTTCGTTATACGCATTATTTTTGGATGTTTACGGCCGTTGAAAAGCCGAACCGTAATTTGAAAAAAAAAACAAAAAAAAAAAAACAAAAAAAAGCAAAAAAAAGTGGATGATACAGAAACAAACGAAATATTGAAGGGCAGCCACCAAAACTCGGCTCGGCTGGTGGTCGTTGGTGCTTGGGAACCCCTCTGTCATCTCTGGCAACGGTGTTTCATAGCGTCACTTGCCGGGATCGTTTGGCAACCTGCCAGAAAAGCAGGGCCGAGCCGAGCCGTGTTTTAGTAGCTCTTAATGGAGTGGCCAGAGCCAACGAATTTTAACCCGGAGTAGGATTGATTTAATAGGGTGAAGGTTTGATGTAAAGGAAGAAATTATAGGACGGTTCATGTGGCACGAAACCGTATGATGACATTTTATAAGATCATATGGAAAGGAATATGTAGGAGAAGGTCTACTTGTGTTTCATCCCTTAGCTGTAAACACAGACAGTCACAAGGTGCGGTTAGGGGCGGGAATCATCCTCTCTGTTAAGAAGCTGATAGGAAACGCTCATAAATGTGAAGAATTTGAGAAGAAAATTAGCTATCTGCGGGTAGTAATCAGAAATGAATATTTGTTTATGAGATTTGTATGCAACATTTGTTGCTTTTTATTTCAGGTGAATGACTCGAAAATGACGCTAAAACTTTGTGATTTCGGTTCGGGCTGTCATGTGGCCGATGTTGAAACAGCACCCTATCTGGTTTCACGATTTTACCGAGCGCCCGAAATAAGTTCGTTTTAAAATTAAAACGTTTTTTTGGTTTCTAAAAATTTATTATTCAAGCGGTCTCTGCGCTAGGTATTTTGAAAGCCAAGAAAAAGTAATCTTGAAATTTTTTGATTGTATTAAAAATTATCTAGAAACCTAGAAATTTTTTTGATTAATTTTTTGAATAATTTTTAAAAACCTACGAATTTTCCGGCTAATTTTTAATTATCTTTGTTGTATTTTTTTTCAGTGCTTGGTTTGCCCTACGATTTCGGCATTGATCTGTGGTCTGTTGCTGTGACACTGTATGAGGTGTATACGGGAAAGATAATGTTTGCGGGCAAATCAAACAATCAAATGTTGAAATTTATGATGGATTTGAAGGGTAAATTTCCGAACAAAATGGTCCGAAAAGCACAATTCAAGGATCAGCATTTCGATCAAAATTGCAATTTCCTATATCACGAAATCGACAAAGTGACACAGCGAGATAAGGTCTTATTTGCAGTGAATTCTACGACTTCTGGGATCAGCTGTTATCTCATCATAGCATACCTTCCAGGCAGCTATCATTGCTGGGATTGGCAGATCCAGGGTGATCTCCTAGGAGAGGGAGGGGGATTTTCTTTCCCCTTCATTACTACGCCCTTC